AGACCGTCATGCCAGACCTCATAAAAGGCCTTGCTGACGTCTCATAGTACTGCGTTCGTCTGATGCTTGTTAGCGAGACCGAGAGCAATCTCCTCATAGTGGCAAAAGCCGTATTGCCTAGTGTTGTGTATTTGGTTGTTTTCAAGATGTGCGATGAGTCTTTGTGTTATTACCCTCTCTAGCAGTTTGCCTGGGACTTCTAAGAGTGCGATGGGGCGGTAATTCCTTACCTCATGTGTGGATTTCCCTGGCTTAGGTATTAAGGTGAGGGTGGCGTGTTTGAATTTATTAGGGAAATATCCTGTTGCCAGTGCTGCATTGAAGATATGGCGTAGTCTGCTGATCAATCTGGGTGGAAGATGTTCAATGATTGTTTTGTTTATGTTGCTTGTTCCTGGTGTAGTGTTTTTGGTGCATTTGATTGTGTTTGTTATTTCCTCTGGTGTGATTGGTGTGGAGAGGGGACTGTCCTCTGTGAGAGTGTTCATTCTGATGGTGTTTTCTGGGAGAAATATGTTTCTATGTTGTTGTATATAGTTTGTAATCTCGGTCTCTGTAGTGTGGTCGAATCGGGCGTTCTCTGTGGGGGAGATTTGGAAATTCTGTTGCCAGAAATCTCTGTGGAGAGGCTCCATCTCCACCATGTCAACCTTCTGTCTTTGTGTGTTATATATGTATGTGATTGTCTGTTTGTTCGACCCCATGAGCATTTTGAAGGAACTTGTATAATGGTGAGGCGTGGGTGTAATGTGTGGTGTGTCATGTGTATTATGTTGTTATTCAAGTCTTGGCTATACTCAATCATTGCGTTTGTGACACGCAAGTTGCCCTCCCTGATGTGTTTGTGAAGCCTCTTAACTGTGACCATGTTAGAATGCTCCTTTTTTCGTTATCAACCACTTTATTCGTTTATTTTAAATTTCTAGTCCAATTTCGATGGGGTCAGAGTACTGGTACTTTTGTGGGTTTTCTGGTTTTCGGAGGAAAGACGGATGCCATAGTATGCAGGGTCTGTAGCGGTCCCATCAATGAGGCGTTAGTGAAGTGGCCGGTGAGTACTGGCCAGGTCTGGGGTAGGGGGAGGGACGTCAGGGGTACTAAGATGGATATCACTGGTGATATCCTTAAGCTCGACCACAGAGGGAATTTTAATGTTTTTCAGTCTCACTGACTGACGAGAGAGGGAGGCCATGGCGGCAGAAGGAGCAGGTGCGTCTTCGACGCTTTGGGGAATTGACTGAGGCTCCATTGCCTGGGCCTCAGCCGGCTGAGACTTCGGTGCATGGACCCTTTGTGGCAGAGGCTCCGCAGATTGAGCCTGCAGAGGTTGGGGCTCCATTGCCTGTACAGGCTGTGGCTTTGGTGCCAGGGGTTGTGATTGTTCAGGCAGGTCCTGAACTGGCATGGATGGGGGTTTGATGACCTTAAGGACACCCCAAGAGTCGGATTCCCCAAGGTCGAGAGCAGGAAGGTTGTTAGCCTCCAGTGCTACCCTAGCATGGTGCCTGAACCCCTTTTCAGGGGCAATGATGTGTTGCATGTGGGCATGCAGGAGGACCACAAGGATCTCCTTCGAGAGGTCATTAGGGAGAGCCAAGTGTATAGATGGTTTAGATTTAGTCTGCTTAATTTCTTGACGGACCTGGTTAATGAGAGGTTTCCAGGTCCTGGTTGTCTCTTGCACAGCTTCCTGTGCAGTTTTCTGAGCCACAGCCCTGTATGACTTGGTCTCAATTTCTTTTTCTTTCTCCCTAATTTTCTCTTGGGAGACCTTCATGGCCTCTCTTCGGGTGGGGCAACTGTTTTATGGACACCGCCGCAATTGAGGCATTTCTTAGTGGGGCTCTTACAGTCCCTGTAGGAGTGGGTGCTGGAAATGCACTCTGTGCATCTCGTCTTTTTTTCGGCTTTGCAGTGGTTCTTTAAATGGCCATATCCGAAACAGTTCATGCAATGTTTAAGGGAAGTACATCTTTCAAACTCGATTTGCCAGGGGGCAACATATAGAGGTATATCCCCTTCTCTTTAATCTTCTTGGCCATGGTGTGGTCAGAGAACCTGACCTTGATGATATAGTTAATCTTCATTATGTAGATGTGCTCAACTTGGGCGTCAGGGAAGGAGGAGGTGATCTCTTC